GGGGGGAAAAAAAAAAAAAAAAAAAAAAAAAAAAAAAAAGGCATTTCTATTGTGAAAAAGTAGTCTGAAAACATCTCCGTTTCACAAAAGGAATACACATTTTGTTGAAAACCATGATTTACAAATCCATTTTTGGACCACAAATCAGAAGTGAACTACTTGAAGCAAAGTAACTCATGACTCTGCAAACATTTCAGTAAGATTCAGCCCTTAGACAAAGAACAGCCACTGACATCACATTACCATGCTCATTTTAAAGACACATTCAAACATAATCTAGTCCAGTAATGTGTATTTATTCCTAGAAGACAAACAGGAAAGACACATTTTTAATTAAAGAGTAAACAGGTGTATGGAGTTTTTGGATTTAAGAAGGTCTTCCATGCTACATGTAATTTCTCTCTCAAAATCTCCAACATGCTGCATTCCCATGACAAGACACTTTGCAACCACGATCAGAATAACACTGGTCTCTTATATGTGTTTTGCATGATCCTGTTCTGTTTTACAGAATGCAGCAGTATCACTCTTTCAATAAAGAAAGAAGTTCTGATATCTCCCTGAAAAGGTCAGAAATACAAGCCCTTCTAGAAAACAAGAAGATGAACAATACACGAAGATCTCAAGTACACCTTAAAATACATCCTAGTACTTTGCAATTGAAAACTAATTTAAGATAAATAATCATTTGTAATTATTTCTGAATTTCTTCATGACAACATGCATTTGTCCCAAATGACAAAAAAATGTCCCAAATGACCAAAACCACATCACTTACCTTTTCATTATTGTAGTAAGAAATGCTGTCTCCATCAAACTTAACCCAGCGCTTCTGAAACACACGTTTGCTGTGAATCAAAAATTAATCCTATTAGAATTATAAACACAAGTTAATACTGGCTTTTAAGAATGTCTCAAGCACAAATTATAGAATGATCAAATCATGTTTAGAGTCCTGTATTTGGGCCTAAACATTTTGAAAATTAAAATAAATCTTAGTCCTATCATATCTTTTCAAAAGGAGTATGCTGATTTCATAATAAAAAAACTGGACACAAGAAGTGCTTCTTTTTTAATCACTTCAGTTTCCTTTTTTTTTCTATTTCCTCCTCATGTGTTCTATATCACATCTAAAGTGACAGAGGAAAAAGAACTTTCAATAATGTAATTTTGCTTAAAATTAACAAGAACGAGAAATGACTATTTTTATTGGAGGCAAAAGAATATTCTGAACACAGAGTATACTTTTAAGTGTTACAAGCTCTATGAGATACTTTCCAAAAAAGAAAGATGAGAACCTAAAATGACCATCTCACTGCCATGTTTATGAGGACATCTCTGTTTATGGGCTATGTCATCTCCAGTCATCAACATCTCCTGAACACTCTCTTTCCTGGCCAATGAATCAATAGCGGTCACAGCAAATCACTCAACAAGTACAACATAAAATTTCATTTTCAATTTGTGTTATCAGCTGGACATCATTAATGAGAAGCTCATTACATTATTTCAGTTTGCCATTAACTCATGCCCTATAAGGACCTCCTGAAATAATTATTTTTACATGAACCTGAAGTAGTCAGTTATACTCATTAAAAATCTTGACGGCTTATTACTTATCATCTATAAAAGTTTCAATTCTAAAATCTATTAAATGAGTTAATTAAGCAAGAACAAGACCCCACTCTAACATCTCTTTGCCAACATTATTTCCTTTCCTGCTAAAGGAGTGATCTGCTTTAGGATTAGTAGACTGTGATAGTTTATCAAAACTTTAATCAAATAGCAGTTCCGGCTTAATTAACTTGTATTATATGACTACAATTAATCATCATTTTTCATAACCTGGAAAAGCCAATGTAAAATCTATTTTCCATTAAAATGTCAATAAACTTCAAGACAATGCAGGGAAGAAAAACTGAACCTAAGTACCACACATGATGTGAGTAAACTGAATTGCTTTAAAATTTATAGTGAGCTCACTAAAAAGAGAAGCTGTACTGTAAATGCATGGTTTGTAGCAATTTAAGAAAAGAGTATTTATTCATTCCTCTGAGGAGTCAGAAAGTGCCAGGTGTAAATAGGAGCTATATAAAAGGAGGAGGGGGCACAGGCAAGGAGGGTATAACAAAAAGAAACATTCAGCTGGCCGGGACTAAAATAAAATATGATGGTGCTTTAAGGAATGAAAAAAAAATAATTGTGGGTTTTTTCCTTTGGTTGATTTAATTCTTCAGATATTTGAGAAAAGGTATTGTAAGAAGAGAACAAAAAAAATGTAGCATTCATTAAACCACGCTAAAGAAAAAGTCCTTGAAATTTAGCCCAAGGAATATCACTGGCTCAAGGCTAATGACCCTGCAGCTGTTCTACTCAGTCCTAACCAGTACTAATTTTGTGGTTAACTCATTATCTTTTTTAAATAATACATTCTCACATAGGACTATCTAAAGCCTTCACACTTTGTTCGCAACATTCCTTCAAATAGCGTAAGAGGAGTCAGCTGGAATCAAGAACTACACTTTCTATCACTCTATTAGCTAACTGCCAAGAGTGCTGTTTAAAGAAAAAAAAACAAAGGTCTCCAAGTGAAACAAAACAAAAGTTAAAGCTAACTGCAGCTCTGAGAAGTCAACACACTAAAAATTCTGAAAAAAAGATGTGCAATTATATATTATACTGGGAAAAAGTCTTCTGACTCTGTGTATAAATATTTGATTCTTTACCAAAAGCAAACAATGACAACCCATAAAGGTGAATGAAACTTTTGGAAAAAAAAAAAGAAAAAAGAAAAAAAAAAAAGAAAAAGAAGTTTGAGCAGTTTGAAATTCCATGATAATAAAATAGGTTTATTAAATCAGGTTTATTCCTTCCTGTTATTCAGCTTCAATGATGTATCACTGTCTCAACAGAAATAAAACCAAAAATCAAAGAAATTAAAACTTGCTGAATCAGAACTATTAAAAAGGAACAACAAAAAAAACATGGAAATTGCTGTAAAATAGAGCTCCTCCCAGTAGGCTCTAACCAGATTGACTTCTTAACCAGTTTAATTCAATAACTTTTTCACTAAACTGAAAAAAATTAATTGCTGTAGTAATTGACAAGTATTGATTATTATTATAATCAGAAATAATGAATGGCCAAACAGTATTAACTATCTTTCAGTGTAGCTGAACATACAGTTATAAGAGCAAAGAATGCAGTACTAAGGCCTGAGTAGAAGTAAAGTGGATGTATTACAGAACTAACAAGGATGACAGTTTTAATTTCTAGATCATATAGATCATAACAACTAGTGAAGATCAGAAATAAAAAGTAAAACTCTGTGACTTTCAACACAAAAAGGAATTCAGAAGAAAGACCAAAGAACAACTGGAGAACTGAAAACAACAATTTAAAAGAAAGAATAATCAATTCAGTTTATTAAAGTGGAGGTTAGAAGAATTTCATCAGAGTTTGCAAGTGTTTATGAAGGGAAGATCTAATAAGAGTGTTCTTTAATGTAAAGCAATTTATGAAGAGCTGGAATTTAAGATAAGTTAAAATAAAACAAAAAACTTTTTAAAATAATAGAAATTACACTTAAGATATTTTTTTTTTAACCCACAAATGTGGCAGAGCCTATTCTCTTTGTATTGTGTTCCTCTCTCTTCTTGATAATTTGAAGTCTTAAACCAAGACTTGGGCTCAGATGCCTTCCATCAAACTTAAGGCACATCAATAAACTAAACTAGGAGACAATTCGTCCTAGATGCCCTTCTAAACTCACAATTGTGAAACTGACAGGATCTCCACTCACACTAATTATGAATGTATACATCCATAGCCAAACTGGTAAAGTAGCATTTCAGAATCAGGAGTTTGTTTTCACTTATTTTGTGGCCCACAGAAAATTAGCAAAAATGTACAGATTGGAAATACTAGTACAAATTAATTCTGTATTTTTCTGCTATGGTTCACAAGTGGTGATCCACATTTTTAATAAAAATATTTTTCCTGCATGCACCTCCTAAATGAACTTTAAAACTGGTAACATCATTAATAACTAAAGAATTCAGAACTTGCAACACGCTCTTGCAACAAAAACAGTTCCTTTCCCTTCCTACCCCAAATAGTAAGAAGTGACCAATTACAAACTTAATATCTCTCATGCAAACATACGTCTTCAATCATACATCTACAATTATACAGTAATCACTGCAAATACCATACCCTTGAGGGGATAATTTATCCAGCCATCCTGCTTTAAACTTCTTTACTGATGGTCCATAAAAACAAGCATACGGTGTTATTGATTCATTCCCAATCGATGTTTGATCTCCATCAAAGTGACGAAAATGCATTTGTTCACTGACCAAGCAATCTGAATCTCCACTTTGTCTCTTACTACAAGATGCTGATTGTGTTTTGGCTTTATTTTTCTTTTTCTTTAAAGGCAAAGAGCATTGTTCCACAATCGAATACACAGATTCTCTTTCAGATTCTCTTGGTGCTAATGATTTATTTTCCTGAGACAGGGATTCATTTTTTGCAGTTTCCTTTGTCTTCTCTTCCTGATTATTAAAGGAACTAGAAACATAAAGTGCATTTTAATCTTAAAGTGTTGCTACAATGCACAAATTTGTAAAATCATTAATTAGAACAAATATTGGTAAGACATACTATAAGCATAACATGTTCAACCATTGTGATAACCACAGACATGCTAAATACAATATATCTTATAACTATGACCATACCCAATCCTACTTTCTCCATTCAACAGGACTGGTACCAAGGTAACACTTGCTGGTTCCTTTAGAAGCCTGAACAAAAATTTAAAATTAATTCTCTCTCCTCAGAAAACTACCTTCACTCATTTTAACATTTTGGAAGATTTTCAGTATCACCTCTCTCTTCCCTCTCCCACCTCAGTAGAAGCCAGGTACAGACTGGAGACTTAATGACTGTGTTACCTGCTATTTTGTCAAACCACTGTCCACCACCTCATGACAGGAGTAGAGAATGGTTTTTAATTTTGTGTTTGGTTTTTCATCTGATGAGGACGTAGAGTATGAGAGTACTCAGACATGGTTAGATAGAAGACATACAAAAATAAAACATGTTTTCCTTGTTCTGACTGGGGAAAAGAGGGACATCTTCTAAATCCATGTAAGATTATGAACCCTGGGATAGACAGTCTCAGGAGAGCCACAGAGCCAAAGTTCACCTCCTACAGCATGGGGTAATGGCCCAAATAGGAGGGGGGGGAAAAAAAAATCATGGTTGTGCCTTCAGAGGTAGAGGTCTACTTGTGATATCAGTAAATAAAACTCTTTCCTCTTTAATTTTTTTTATTTCTCTATAACTCCTATTTAATACCATAGATTCTTGCAAGAAGAATACTCTTCATTCATTCCTAGATCAAATTTATTTTCACAAGCCAGGAATTCATTTCCATGAAGTTCCTAGAAAAGAAATACATTGTAATCAACATTTGCACTGATGTAGTAAGGGATGTTTAAATTACTGTAGACACAAATCACAGACATACAATAGCCTAACTAGCAAAGCTATTCTTTGCCACATTTTCAAATATGCATTTGAAAGATCATGTTTTTAAAAGTGTTCTAAGAAATGTTATTTTCAATATTTCCATTCTAAAAAATAATACCAAGATAAAACATTTGAACATAGTCAAAAAAAAAAAAAAAATCAATGTGTAGAAATGTGTAGACTTTTCCTGGAGCACAATTAAATGTTATCCTTACCCTGAAATTTTCTAAGCTAAAGAGCCACATGTTGCATGCAGGTGTTAAGGATACCATTTATGATTTGCCACTGCTACCCTATGTTTCACATAAATACTTCTCTGAATTTAATGTACAACCTTCACAGTACACTAAAGATAAAATAGTAGTAAATTCAAATTCCTACAGTAATACTGAACTCAGTCATATCAAATCTATCTTGCATTTTCTAGCCAAGCTCTCCTTCCTAGAAGGCACATTTATTAATGTTTGTTTAGAAACCTTTATCACAAACTGCTTTCAGTGTACAAAATGTCAAGGTTACCACTTCAAGAACATTACATTTCACATTTTCTAAACTTGATCTGACAATCATACTGTATTACTTTCTCAGTACTTGTCTGTCTTCCTTTAAAAAAAAACCAAAAAACCCCAACCAACAAACAAACAAACAATCTTCATGCTTTTTGATTAAAACATTTTAATTTACTCATTTAAGCTTTGATGCATGTGTCACAAAGCTGAAGGGTGGCAGAAAAAAGTGGGTAAGTTTTCACAATGGTTTCCATTTGTTTTCTGAGCAGCAGTGGCTCATCTTGTACCTGAGGGCTGTACCTTGGCAACATAAAAAGGCAAGCTTAAAAAAAGCACATAGCCCAAACCTGAGTATGTCTACATTGCAGCAAAAATTGTGGAAATCACAGGCTGCCTCTAGGATAAAAATAGGTCAACAGTCTGCCTTCCCTTGCCAATCAGATTCATCATAAAAAAATCACTGAAAACCAACCACCACCATCAGCCACACACCACACTATTAACTATGTTGTAGCAACAAGAATTAGACAAAAAAAAAAAAAAAACCCAACAACCCACATCCATACACCTTGTAAACAAACTAAACAGAAAACTCCAAAGCAATCTGTCCACTGCTTATCAAATGCTTGGGTTGACTAGAATCTCACAAAAGGAGACACAACATTCAGAAAGCTAATACCATCACCCAGGAAGCATCTTCAGAGTAAAAAGATCAGTATCTTTTATCTTCATTTGCTTATCAGGATGCAACTACAAACACCATACCCACTGAAGCTATATGCTAGTATCTCCCATAATCAACCATTATGATAACAGTTTTATGCCCATCTTGTGCCCACTCCACAATCTTCAGCACTTGGGCAAGTGAATTCAGGGAGCATGAGACCTTCCAAACAATCATCAAGAAATGCATTTCTATTGCCAGTAGATTTTAAAATGTAGAAGTCCACAAACAAAGAAAAATTGTGGGGACAGGGAGTTTTATTTGTTCACAAAGACATGTATTTCATCCAAATTAAGTCCCAAGCATTTCCAGTGTGTTGTTTATAGAACTACTCTGCAAAATACTCAGATTAAAAATGAGACAAAACTCTCATGTCCCAATTCCTGCAAATCTGAGGTATTATGCAAAGGTAGTTAGCAGCAGCATTTTCTAATGCAGACATCTTTACAGGTAGAAGTATTTCTTAAAATATAGGTATATATATTACATAGAAACTGTCTCTAAATATGTACTGTTCTTATGCATAGGAAGGACCTACCCTGGCACAAATCTGTCTTCCAGACCCCAGACAGATTGAACTGCCTACTTGCAGCCCTGTATAAAAATCCTCTACTTTCAGATACATTTTTGGTTTTAGCTTTTTCTAATGGGTAGTCTTGCTGATCAACAGCGAGTCGGGAAACCTGAATGCTAAAACACGGACTGCATGAAGACTATCAGGACTGAAGCTACATTAAAAAAAAGACTGTCATTCAGGACAGGCATCTTCCTTAAGAAGTACTACCTTATTCTTCTATTAAAGCTAATGTCACACAGCTCTCCTCAGGTTGGTTCCTGAATCATGGTTTGGCAATACAATTTTATAATAGGTCCATAAATTCCTCCTTTTGAAATATTGTGTTCTTATTTTAAAGTGATAAAACTTGCAATCTGGCCAGCATTCCACAGTATCAAAATGCTTAGGAGTTCATATAGTTTACTGAACTCAATATGCATGTTTAATTTATTCTGACAATCAACAGTAAGAAATAAAACCAATACTTCACTCTAGAGGCCTGAACTCATTAGAATTCAGTTTTCCTGTGAAGGAATTCTAATACACTTGAATCTTCAGTTGGCTGGAACAAATCAGCTTTAAAACATTTGGATTTTTATTTTCTTTATTTTTAAATCAATATAAAAAAAAAAAAAAAAAAGTTCCTTCTTCAGGTTGCCCTTTAGAGGTTTCTCCTAGTTGTCTTTCTTCCTGACCCAAGTCAAAGGTGTATTTTCTTTATAACTTTAATTCCATGTTCTCTCATGGTCACCTCCAGTCTGTAGTGACTCATTACCTGTTTCTACAGACACTCCCTTCATAAAAGCCTACAGAAGCCTTTTCTTCTTTACACCAGTGAAACAGGAAGAAGGATAATGTTAAACTTATAAGAACAAACTTCACTCATTCAGTATTACAATTTGTTACATTTTGTTATATAGAGAAAAACTATATTCTCATGTGAAGTTATCTTTTAAAATGAAGCAGCAGTTTCAAGACCTAAAATCTCAGATACTTTACACGGTTACTTAAGTTTTTTCTTTGTTCCTAGGATACTTGATACCTACTGAAAGAAATCTGAAAGTGAAATCTTACGACCTTTGTTTTTATGATCCTTCTTCACAATCTTTGTCTGCAATTAAGTTCTAGTGGAACTAAAATTATGTCGTTTCCAAAAGGGATTTGATAAATATAACTCAAAAAACTGTTCACATACATGAAAGTGATAATTAAAATCCAAGTCTTCAGATCAGTTATAATATACTGCATTAATCGTGATTCTACAACCTGCAGAAATAGTAATTATATTTCAGGCATTGATCCCTTTTAACAGCATGGTATTTTTAGTTTTGGTGACTCTGTAAAATAAGAAAGATTGCTGACAACCTTCCTGGCTATGTGTTTTTAATAATAAACTATTTTAGTGAAATGTACAGAATAATGCTAATAAGTAACAAGAAGGCTAGGAAACTTTTTTCTAAAAAACCTGTCACTGAGCTAGTTACAAAGAAGTTAAATTTTGAATTTTTAAAGACATTGACACAGACAACAATAACTGGCACAGACAAGACGATGTACACAAGGAAAGAAAACGGAAGCTCAAGTGTCACTTTTGTGTGCAGAAAACAAGAACTAGAAGGAGAAACAAGATACGAATTTATATATGCCTCCTTTAAAAGTCAACACCAAAAGAAAGCACAACATATTTCCAAAGAAAAGAAAGTACACACCAAAAACAGAGGTCATTTTTATGCTTCTAAAACCACTCCCATTAGATGATGAAATCTGGAGCATTTACTTTTGCTGACCAATTCTCAACAAACTAAAATGGGGGAAAAATATGTCATAGGCATCCATTTGAGTAGCTTTCATTTTAGTCAATATTTTAGAAAGTAAAACATTAGAGTGAAGACTAGGACAGAAACTAAGAATAATTTACTGTTTTCTCTAGCTCTGTGGCTTGAGATCAGCTGGGACAAGTATGAACAATCACAGAACCAACAATTTCTGGTCTGAATCCTGCTGTGACAGAAGCAGGAGCTGGGATTCATGGCATTTGGCAGATGCCTCACTAAGCTAACTTAGCTCCCAGATCTCCACGTGATTCAGAAGTCTGTCCACATGCCATCTATGACATTCACACCACCAATTACTGACCCCAACAAAAATATTTGCTTCAGAGAATCCTACAACAAAAGTGACTTTCTGGGCATACGACAAGTTTAGGGGATGCATGAAAAACATAAATTCTGAGAACTTTCATATACAGGAATTAAAAAAGGGTATGACAAAAAGTGACCATTAGATCATCTAAGCTAACATGTAAGCTGCTTTCATAGGATATATGCAAGGCTGTGTAGAGATGCCCGGTCTTGATCTTCAATTATCAGAAGAGAGAAAAGCCACTTTTACCTTTACTAGTCAATCCTAATGGTTATTCATCACTTAACCTCATCTAGGCATAAATTATTACAATATATCACTGTACCTAAGAGGGTAAAAGGAAGACACTGAGGTAGTCTACAATTGCCTGTAACTTACTGTTTTGCATTTGGAATGGCAGCTCTGGCATTAAAAAAGTCAGTTATCTGTCCTATGTTGTTTGAAAAAACAAAAAAATAACCAAAATGCACCACAGCTTCCTATTACTATTGAATAGAACAAAGTGTATCTGGAGATTAAGAAAGGTCACTAGTCCACAAATATTTACACTATAAACCTTTTTCATGTACCTAAAAAGACGGAAAAGATACTAGGAAATGAAAAAGAAAGAGTAAAAAATAATTAAGGGCAATATAAAATAGATAACATGAAGATTGAAGTGAAGATAAATCATTTATATCCAGACTTCTCAACTTACTTTAGCGTCTTGAGGGTTGTCACAAATAAAGGTTTCCCCATACGGAGAGATGATAGGTGGCTTTTCTTCTGTGAAAGTTTCTTAAAGCAAAACAAATAAATAAATAAATACAGTCATACAGTACAGTGCTCTACTAAAGTACTAATAAAATCAACAAGGGACACAGATTTTTCTGCTTGTGATTTCTCTGTCCCTTTCAGAAAAAAAATTTAAAAAAAAAATAAAAATCTGAAGAACAAGAAACAAATTTCCCATTTCTAACAACTCCAGACAACTTTTACCCCGAGACATACTCAGACACAACTACTACTACCGCTATATAATTTGGATATAAGTTGTATACAGGTGTTTTCTTCTTTCCTACCCTGCACCAAGTTAAAAAAAAAAAAAACAACCTTCTGTTGCATACTCTGAGGAAGTGTCCTTTTTTCTGACTTTTAAAGCCCCCCAAAAAAAAAAAAAAATTGTGCACAATCTTCGTCACCACGTATTTGCTTGAAATTAATATGCATAACTTCAAACAAGACATACCTCTAGAATATGAAAGAACTTTTACTTACAACTGACCACACAAGACTTCTAAACTCTTCAGTAAAGTATTCAATATAATTAATTTCCTGTTATTTCCTGAAGCTATAAGCACTAACTAACAAATTAAGCAGCATTAGTCAGGAATATGTTCCTTGTATCTTTCAAGAAAAAGCTAAATCTACTTTAAAAATCTGGATCTAATCTTAGAAACTTAAAATACTGTAATCTAAAAAAGTATATTAAAATAAATGAGGTTTAAAGACTGGACTTTCTAATTTTCATTTTATTAATTCATTAACAAAAACTAAGTAAAAATGCAGATGTGGTTAAACACCCTGCTTTTACATACATCATTTTTTTCAAATGTTTCAGATGTCCAATATTTCTTAAAATAAGCAAGTCAATATTCATTTTAGACAACTTCTGTTCTGAGGGGTTTTTTTCCTCAATATTTAAGACATAAATATCAGCATGCTTAACTCACTGTTTTGTGAAATGTGCCTCCCAGTGCAAGAAATATTTACAAGATCCACGTTTCTTCTTTTCTGAAGGGAGCTTGAACAAAGTAAAGCACAAAATGAAAATAGTAAATTAATTTTCCCACAAATGGAGAAAAAATATCTTAATTAAATTATTAAAGTTATATACAAATAGTCAATTTTAAGTCTTGGGAAATTTTCTGATTTAATTTAAAAGTCACCTAACAATGTGTTTTCCTCCCTCTGTGACATGGACTACTTCTCTGATCCGAGCATACATCTTGAGTTTGGGAGTTTTTTGTGGTTGTTGTGAATTGACCTTATTTAGATCACTGGCAAGCATGGTGATCCCCCTCTCTACCCTAATACTTTACCTTCCCTTCTTCACACTGAAGGGATGCACTAAGAAAGTCCAATTTAACATTAAGCTCAAAGGGAGCCTGGACATGGGAATCCAGAAAAAGCATCCTCTCAACCACTGAAAAAAAATGCTGTAAAGTTTTGATTTCCTAAGGTGCATTTTTCCCTTAAAGTTTTCAATCTGAGACATAAACAGCATTGCATTGCAACTGCTTGTGACTACCACTGTACATTTTGTAGATAGGTAAGAATGTAACCCCATAAATAACAGAAAAATTATGTTATTATTGGTGTTGTGCTGGCCCCTAAGTATTTCAGCCATTTCATGTATAGTGGCACTCATCATGCTGCTAAAGATCACATTTTTTTTAATTATTATTATTGTTGAGATTTCAGGCTGAGACAGCAGCTTTAGAACAACGCCACAAGAACAAATATGCCTGAATTTGTACATTTCTAACCCATCTTTACTACTCTAGCAGCCTGTATTAGAGCTGTTTTCAGCTAAGCTCTGATTTCCCCTGTTAACATAATTAACATTTTTTCCTCTTAATTTCATTTTTTTGCTTGAAATAAGTGATGCAGATCCTTGTGCATGTTTATAGAATATTGAGTAACTGATAAATGCCATACAAGATCCTTGAAGTTTTTCTAACACTTTGCAGGTCCTCCATCCTTCAAAGTTAAAGTGTGTTTTAATAAAAATACCAGTATTGCTAATTTTTGTTTTCCCACTTAACATACTGAGAAACTTTATTATTTTAAGATTAGCTATATTCAAAACTTTAGGAATGCTGTCCCATGAAGTCCAAGTTGAATTATTCCATATTACAGGCTGATGTCTCTCTATGACAGAAGGCATACATTTATGAACTACTATTTTATATAATTTTTAATCCATGCCTAAATCTGCCCCAAACAAATTATTAAATTCAAGACAGACACCAAACCTTATAAACATACTCGACACTTCAAATGTTATCCAGTTTATATCAATTAAGTTCCTCAACAATATCCTGGGTTTAGAAAACACAGGGTAAGTTTGGCCAGTGAAGGTAGATCACAGCCTAGATCCCAATACATAACTGTTTGCACTCCTGAGTTATAATTACAAAAATTACACAGCAAATACTTTTAAAGTCTGTGTTTCTTCCTACTTTTTACTATAATTTATGTAGCTATATCTTTTGAAGTTACATTAGCAAATTCATGCATTTGTTCTAACCTGATTTCAAAGAACCTTACAAAAACCCACTAACTTTTTCCACACAGACCAGATATTTTTATTGTTACATTGGGTTATTTTAAGGGTACTAATACCATTAAAATAAATGAGAGATATAGATAAGCAGCTTTGACTCAAAGAGCTTTTAAAATGATGGTTTTCTTCCTTAGTAAAACAGCAAGTCAGTGGCTTAGTTTCAGGGTGGATGGATTTAAAAGTGAGTAACGGTAATACCAACAACTAAACATAAATTCACCAGGAAATAAAAAATTTAAAAATCATCTTACAAAGAACTGCATTTTTTTAATTCATATTTTTTCAGGACTTTTGTTTTGTTTGGGTTTTTTTTTATTATGTCCCTACATGTATGTGTACATGGCAAGAAAACCTGCTAATAAGCAGTAATAAGGTTTTTTCCAAACAATCAAAAATAAAACTTTTGTCAATTTTGGAAAATAAAGTTCTAACATGTCCAGTAAAAATTATCTGAAAATATAAAATAAATGAAACAAGTTTACTTTGAACATCTGCTTGAAAGAACAAACAATATACAGTGCAAGCTATAAAATGATGATGATTTATCAATGTTCAATAGACCAGAATAGTTAGCTAGCTGTTGTACAAATTGAATACCTGGATTAAAAGACAGAAAAATACTGAATACTTCTTTGGGGGCAAATAAGATTGGAAAAAAAAAAACCAAAAGCCTTATATCTACTTCAATCTATAACTTTCCTTAACCATTTTTGAAATGTAATACCTCTTCAGACTAATGATCTTCTTTATTTTGCTCTTTAAAGAAAGATTAGTGCAAGTCATCTGTCAGTGACAGAGTGTGCCAATTCTACAAGGATATAATAATAATTTTAATTAAATTATCACTTTGTTACAACTGTGAAGATTAAGTCCCACTATTTTCACATATTAAGAGGTACCGTATGTGGGCCAGGCTGCATAATCTTCCTCACCACCCTTTCCTTTTGCATAAACAGAATGAAAGGGTGTGATGAGGCAGCAACTGGTCTCGCAAAAGGCTGAGACTGGAAAGGTGAGAACTTTGCTGCGCTGGGCTGAGCGGAGCTGAGCTGTGTTATTCAGTATACTCCTGTCACCTTGCAAATAGAGGGAGAGAGGCCAGTGCAAGCACTCAGTGCTTCGAAGTCTTTACTGGCATTCATCTCCCGAGTGTTTTAAATGAATGAAACTTTTATTTTCAAACTCATTCAAAACAGTTTTCTATCTCAAGACCTAACTCTCTGATAGTGCAAACACATCCAAAGCACTCTAGCATGTTGTGTTAGAGCCTTGGAGTTCACAGACTGCTTGCAGAAGTAAATTAATGGTGATGTTTGGCCATAGGAAAAGAGAGGGAGAAGTGTCTCTTTCCTCAAAAAAAATTGCTTTTTGTGACAGAACAGAGAACAGAGAGACACAGCAGCACTAGCTTGGGCACCTCATTAGCAATCCTGACCACATATATGTTACGACATAGACTCTAAAGAATATCAGCACCAAGCAAGAAGTTTTAACCATAGGATCTGCCAGTTGAAGAAAACAAATAGTGCTTGCTCAGGCCAAGCCCCCTTATCCATTTTATTTATTTACATTTTCCCACAAATGCAGTATGTTTTTCAGAATTACTTTGGTCTATTTGTTCTTATTTCTTTTAATGAATCAGAACAATCCCACTACTGAACAATACAAGTAACAAAGTTGGGGGATATGAAAAAAACTAGCAGCATCTAGAGTTTATTAGAGTGACATTTTATCTGTGTAGCATTCTGTATAACACAGGTCTACCATGCTTAAGCTTTTTCTTTGAACAATTGCCGCTCTGAATGATGCAACAGTAGCTATTTCACCTGAGTGACTGCTAAATGACATGATCCAAAGCATTCAAAGCATATGAAATTATCTCTATACTTATTATCTTTAATCTTGTGCTAAAGGCACGTCCATGATTAAGTCCATCCATTGCATTATTTTCACTGTTTCGTCCTACAAAAGCCTTAATTTTCTCTCATGTCGGTATGGAAGTCACTTAGACCAAAAGTATCAAGAGACACCATGAAGCTTCCAATCCACCCTGTTTAACCCTTTGTTCTGTTCCACAACATGACTGGGAACCATATTAAAAATTTAAGACCTCACTTAAATACATAATGCAGGGTCTCGGAAAGGGTGATGACTATGTCTAATAAAGACATTTTGGATGCAGATTATTTCAATTTTAGAACATGATTTGCAATCCTCTTAACAATTCCAGTGTTTTTAAACACCTTTCAAGTGATCTTTATTAATTCTTTATCAACAGAGATCTCATGTTATAAGGAAGAGTCCTGCTGACAAGAATCTAGCATAACTACACATCACTTCAATACTGATCAACCAAAAACACTACTGAAATTTGCATAATAAGCCTATTATCAAGAACACTGTAATTGCCATTTAAAAAAAATATTCTGCACCCCTCTGTACTACAGTGATGCCATATACACTTCAAAGAATAAAGAAACCCAAAATATTTCAAACTTCTAAAATGCTATGGTGTCTTAGCAGCTGACAGCATGTTTTGTTACAGGCAAGAGCCAGGAGTACAACTGAGGCACAGGGAAGCAGATATAATTGCAAGAGAGACATTTTGAGTCATAAAACATGACATAGTCACAGCACTACTAAGGGGCACAAGGAGACCCACCATATGAACTTTTTGTGCCAGAAGGCACATAAGAGATCATGAGAAAAGCACTTCCTTGCATAAAAATTTAATGACTAATATCCATGAATGACTAGAAGGAAATGTTGAGTCTCCCAGATGTTTTCAGCAGGATTTCTCTGCCTCTACGGAAAAGCCTTCACACAATGTAATAAGGACAAAACCATTGTCTATCCATAAAAATGAGCTGAGAACGTCTGTCTATGCAGTTCTGCAAGACACACAGTCTTTCATGAAGTTAAAGATGCTGCAATCTGCCATTTTAAAGTTCAGTATTAATTCTTTGCCTCTAAAAAAAATACTCGGCAAGGTCATCAAGATCATTCGTGTGAAGTTTAAGCTATGTTTTGAAGTTCTGGTTTACCTTTGATCTTCCTCTGACAGACTGTTACTTGTCCTGCAGAATTTCTGTATTATAAATGGAGCATCAGTACGAAGAAAGTAAGCTGGAGCTCACAAATCAAAATTGTGGGTAATGAAGTTAGTGACCCAGCCACATATCAATCACTAATTGACTGGGATTTGGAGGATTTACTTCAATGGTGGGAAGATTACAAATATAGCATATTCTCTCTGCTGGATGATTGTTTCTCAAAAGATATGAAGAGTACTCTTTTAGTAGCTAGTTATCTTTTAGGATGATATTCCCATTTTACCTCAGCAGAAATAGAATTATTTTATGAAGTAGGGATCAATAATCACTCTACAAAAGTTAATGTAAAGTTACTCTTCACTGAAAGATGTTTATACTTAAATTTCAATAAGCAAATTTTTGGTGGTTTAGAAAGGCACTGATGAAACATTTTTAAGGCACACAAAAATCTGTTAATTGTTGCAAAGAATCCTTGCCTCTCCATCTGTTCAAACAACTGTATTACAACATTTAATACTGACTTCTTTCAATAATCTAGAAGTTTATAAATGCTGGGAAAACTCTGCATTTAGGACATGTATAAACTCGCTAATGATGTTTCTAACTACTGAGATATGCAGATGAAAAAGACAAGATAAACACAAAACATTCCCAGACACGTCCCTTCCAGGCATAGTTAGTGGTTTTAAAAAAAAAAAAAAAATTACTAAATTAAAAAAAAAAAAAAAAAAAAAAAAAAAAAAGGGCAATCTAATGATTTGGATATGGCTACACCAACAAAACACTGCATATGCCTTTGCATGAATTTTTCTTCTCCAAGACACTTGACCAGCATGATGAGTAAAAGCTTGTAATTAATAGAACCAAATACATCACAAATTAATCTGTGGGGAAATATTCTTTGTTTACATAGCCTGTAATATTGTCATCAACTGCACATTTAGTGCCTATTATTTTAAACAGTCAAACAATATTACTTTTATTAAGATAGGCCTGGAGTTAAGTTTTAACATCAGACCTTTTCCCCTACACACCATCATATTTTTGCAAGACAAGTGATAACAACTAATGCTTATTCAAGACAGTAAGTGCTACTCACTAATTTGTGGATTCAAATTATGAACTCAACAGACTCACATCACAAATATTTTGAAATAAATTCAAATTCTCCTATGCAATTTACTATAACAAATTTTATTGGATTCTATCCAACACTATTCTCACCAAAGCTGCACAGAACTATCTTTATAAAGACTCCATAAACTCTGAAAACCTCCCACATCTATTTTTTTTTTTCTTTTTTTAATTTCCCTTTTTCCACTTCTTTTTAGCTGCTGGAATGCCTCAAAATATTTTAATACTACAAACATCATTAAAATCTAAGGTTTTGTTATTATGAGACCACCAGCAAAAGACCAACCTAATATGACAAATTGGTTGCATTCATTCCCTCAGTTAACAGTTAAATGACAACTAGTTTAGAAATTAATCTAAAAGCCATCTTGAAGAAAGTCCTTGCTTTAGACCAACAATATAATGTAATCTTCTCCTCCACAAAATATCCTACTCTAATTTAAAACTACTCTAATTTAAAATTTACATATTTATATTTAGATATAAATTTTATGTACTTTAAGGCTAAGCCTTAATATTCACATATAATTGCCCTGTTATGCCCATGCATGTGTGCAATCCTATCAGATACATCCTGCATTTTTTTATAGGGTGACTACATCATTCAGTGCTCAAAACAGACAAGAAGACTTTCTAAATTTTGCCCCACTGTTTAGATAAAACTACATAAACGTGTAGGCGTGAAAAACTTTTGGGGGTTTTCTTATAATTTATATATATAAAATAATAAACTTGTATTTTCCAAGAACAGTATCCCTTAAAAGGTATGACCTTAAAAGTTACTAAGATACAACCTGAATATTTGTGTTTCACAGTAATTTTTATCATAAAAATAGATTTCTATACTTAAGGGTGAATTTTTAGCCCTCTTGAAATCACCATTTTGTCATCATTTTCCTTTGATGGACCAGAATTTCATCAGAAACATTGGAGCTAAGATCTAATTAATATTATTACCAATGCTTTGGTTTGGAATAGATTCAACAGCTTTTTCTGTTATTTTTCAATCTTGGTTTTGTAACACTTATGTATTTCCATTCTTCCCCATTTTAACACAATACAGATTAAGTTTTAAAAATGTTTGATGTAGTTGTTTTTAACAAGGGTTGTCTCTAATGCAAAAAAGATTCCTTTCTTTGAAAATAAGCAGATGCAGAGATGGTTGGGGAGGTTATAAGGAAACACTGTTCTGAAATTTGCCTTTATACTCTCATTTGCACTTTTAACTTGCACTGAAGCTCTGAAGCTTAATCTGCCTTTGGTTATTGGGAACATTCATACCAGATCCAGGGTATGTACAGCACATATTTTAAAAATCCACAAAAAAAATTACATTAAAAAAAAAAAAAAAAGGAATTTCTACAATGATAACTCTTCATTAAAAGAAAAAGCACAGTTACCTTGATGAAGTTTGAACTTTACTTGATTTGGGAATTTCTGGTACAGGTCGATGCCGTAATATAAAAGACCGGCTTACTCTTGGAAATACTTTCGTGCAGTTTTGTGTATAAGAACCATATAAGTCATTGTCTATCATTTCTCCTTTAAACTTAAAGAATGGAGAATTTGGCTCACTGTCAGATGAATCATCCTCATCTGAAAACATCAGATGTTTGTTTTCGTTGTATTTTGTCCCACATGAATGAGCAAATGAAGAAGAAGAATCATGAAATGCCAAACAGCCAGCCAAGGTTTCATCAGCTTGGTATGCAGCAGCTTCTTCCAGTGATGCATCTGGCTGAATATTTGTTTTAATACTTCCATGTAGATTGACAGCTTTTAGTATGCTGTGTGAATTCTGGTATAAACCAGAAAAATCCAAAGTTGTAAAGCTATCATCATTTGCCTCCAATAAGTTTTGCCCTGCAAGTTCAAACCTTTCTTTATCAATGTAAGCTTTATTAATAAGTTGTTCTGACAACGTTGCAGGCATCAAGCTAGTCCCATCTACACTTGAATTGCTTATTGGAGGCTCCTGATCTGAGGACAAATAATGCTTCTCTTCTAAACCTTTCAAATCTTTGAATTTTAGATTTTCACAGAAAAGAGAATTTCCTTGCATTTTTGAAAGAGTAGTATCTAATTGCTTAAGAATCCTTCTACGGTGCCCTGTAGGCAACACTCCCATTTGCTGAAGCACACTGTTATTTATTCCCACACAATCTGTCACAGTGTTATAGCCATATTCTTTAAAGTTAGGAAGATACTGTCCCAAGTTAATGTTGACCAAGAATTCTTCAATATCAGTGCAGTTGCCTGTGGATGACATGATGGCAGCTTCATTCCGAATACTGCCCCACACAGTCATGTAGAAATATAGTCAGGGTGTATTCATATTCACTAGCAAGAAAGTGCTCTAAATTTGGTGTCAGCCAGCCAATGGAGAATATCAGTTTCTTCAAGACACTTCAAGATTCTTCCGTTCAAATGGTTTTTCTTTTGTTTTGTTTTTTAAAGACTGCAAGCCTATAGGGGTGAAAAAAAAAAAAAAAAGGCATTAAAAAAAATTCCTGTCTGAATTCACATTAATCTTGAATAAAATTCTGAAAGGCTTCCTGTCATTTATACAGTAATTTTCAAATTGCTTATACATGAAAATTTCAAGGAGGGTAAACAGCATAACCTTCCTTTTATCTTGGCCTGTATAAAGAGCATAGAGAAATCAAAGTCTTAACCCAGCACAAGTAATACAATCTTAAAATAGATAATCATAGTAGTTAAGATGAACAGTTAAGAGATGAACCACTTATCTACATACACACATATAAGGGGGATATAAGGAGAGGGGGAAGTGATCTAAGACCAGAGCTGGAACCCAAAGCTTTCTTATTCCCATGCTAACCCTGACAAACTATAGTGTAGGGCTTCTACTCCCTTATCTTCTAAACCTTTAACTCTTTTTAGCAAAGAAACACACTTTCCATGGGAAAAAGGAAAAAATAGTCTAGAGCATTCTCTGTGAACTATGGGTTCAAGCCCTCTTCACCTGAGAATCCAACTGAACAAGTACCATAACCAATAAAATAGTTCACAAGGTAGATTCATTTCTGAGCGGATTAGGGGCGGGGGGGGGAGGGCCTTAATTGTTTGAATAACTACAGTCAGAAAGCTATGGAGGTGATCGAAAGATGTCTTGCAGATCAGGCTCTTCAAAGAACGAGGGAAAACAGGAAACAGGCAACTACTAGCTTTTCAACTCTGCCAAGGAAGCAGTTTTCCCTTGGCCACAACCAGTAGCAGAGGCATAACCCCACAGGCAAGTTCTGGTCTCCACACTAGAGACATTTGGTATCTCAAGTGCCCGTGACAGTTTTTACTCCATATTTTCCAACACAGCCCTTGAACTCTCCAGATTTCACCTAATTTGGTTCCTCCTTCTTTCAGGGCTGTATCCAAATTCATGATTTGAAAAATCCAAAGCTGATGGAGAAGCTACAATTCAGAAGATGTTTGAGACAGCCTGAAATCACATGTCTTTAAAGAAGGTTTAAGAGCAGCAGCAGTCAACAGGTTTTTTCACCTCCCTCTTCCTGTGTAAAGAGTAATTTGGCCTTAGGGAAACCTGCTGACTATAGCAGCTGTCCTGGCATGCAGGTACTAGCCTTAAGCAGCCTGGAGAGAAAGAACAGCTTCAGTAAAACAGTGCAAGACCTAAATTGCAATTAGAAAGAAAAGAAATCGTTGCCCAGAATATATCCATGGTAGTAGGTATTGATACCTTATTCAAAATATTTCCTGACAAGAAGGGCACTTCTTATGACCTAGAATTGAAGCTTAAAAGATTACCTACTTTTGTACTGTATCAACTCCTCCAAAAAATTATAAAAACTCTTTCTGTAAGGCTTCCCTAACGTCTTTTAAATAACTAAGTCGTTATTCAGAAAAGCAGTCATAAATAAATTTTTATGTCCCTCCTCATTCCCCAAAGCTGTATACAAACAAATATGAATTTTAAATCATTTACTGAATGGAGCACAACAGTTATCACTGCTATTGGCAATTATACTTTATTATGATTAAATGATTAAATAATTAAGACTTCAACAGAACTCTTTTCTTGGAAAATTTTGTAAATTACTTTATTACTTCCAAAAAGCAGTAATCAGAAACAGGGAAAAAACAAACCTCTTTATACTTACACCATACATATACATATAGATGTGACATTATAAGAAAAAAAAGATGAACAAACCTATGTTTTTCTGGAAGATGTAAAAACCAACACTGCACACTTAACTATAAATGTTTCATTACTGAAAATAAATATTTGGACTTGTGATAACCTCTTTAACTTCATTTTTGGGGCAGTATTTTTATCAGCTTCGATCACAGTCCACAAGTCTGAGAAGTGACATCTTGACTATGAAATTCGTGCAATTAAAATTTTTTAAAGAACTCTATAGGCCAATCCTAAATCAACTTCTCAGGAGAGGTGAAGTTTGTTAGGGAGTTAACCCTCTCTAAAAGATTCCCAAGTCATTTAAATTCAAAAAGCTTTGGAGTGAACTAAACTGATTAACAAACAGCTTTTAGATTTAACTTTGGCCTTTCCCAACCTAAGTACTTACCTAAACACTCATTGTTCCTTTAAAAATTTCAGACATCAGCATTTCCTCAACCTTTTCAGTAAGCCTCTAGTCATAAAAGACAAAATTCAACAGTATGGCCTCCACCCATCTACAAACCTGAAAAATACAAATGTAAATACATAGTATCTTAAGAAGTTGAATATATTGAATCTACTAAAGTTGGCAAAAAGTACCAGGCAGGCAGATACTGTTTGTATCTGTTTGTACCAAAGAATAGACTTTCATGTACCCATTAATGAAAAAAAAAAAAAAAAAAAAGCCACAAAAGGATCCAACATTAAAAAATCCCACATGTTCAAGCATATAAAACCCCCACAATGGTAGTATATCAGTCTAAATGTTCCAAAGTTGGAGTTGCAATTGTTTTTTTCAGCCATTTCCACCTTCCCTGGCAGTTCTGGGGTTCATGGTGGTGTTTGGGTATTTTTTCCCAGGGTGTGTTTATTTCCAGCCAGTATCATTCTCTCATTCCCTCCACCTTCAGCAGTAACAAAAAAGACACTTAGGAAAGTAGCTTTTACTTATGTGTTTATAAATATATATATTTTATATAAACATATATATTTATACCCACACACACTCTTTTCAGGATCTAAATACTGCTTTTTTCTACATGCAGTAGCTTTGCCAACACCTTATCCTGGAACACCTCCAGTGTTGTTACTTCAGGAACTCAAATTGCTATGTATTATCAGTTATTTAGATCCTAACCCATCTCTGTATAAACCACAAAACAATGCAGAGTATTACCTAGCACAGAACAAACTCCTTCCAAATTTGCAAGAACCATTACTTTTTGCAGTATATTTTATAAATAAAACATGTAGCAAACTGAGAAAGTAAGAAACTGCTCACCAAGAAGACATTTTGACTACAAAATGCCAGCACTGCCAGAAGCTGAAGTCCAAGCCATATTCTGTTTCTGTAGTAATCTACGGCAGAATCCATAGAGATGTATGGCAGAATCCATCAAGATTTATAAAGACTTGCTATAGATCTGGCCTAGCTATACAGTTAGATACCAGTAAATTCACAGTCACACATTTTGCCAGTCTGAGCAAAGGGTTATACTGAAACATGTTCTGCTTTGAGTACTCAGACAAAGATTCAAGTAACCAACAGCTGAACAGATCTGCATACACTGCTGAATGTTTGTATTGCAGGCTAGAAGATAAATACTGAATTGTTTCTTACAATGTTTTATCCTTACTAAAGGCTTAAGCTCAAGAAGCATACAGAAAAGCAGAACTCAAGGACCACTTTATCCAACATATTGATCTATTTCAATGTAATTAATATCAATTTAAAAAAAAAAAAAAATCTCCTCCATGGCTTTAATTGTAGAATGTCATAACAAACTTTAAAGAATGCTTGTACCGCATTAGCTATGTAGTGTACATATATATGCACATTTGTATGCATACATTCACATCCATATTTGTACCACTACAAGTTTAAGTAAACAATAGTCTTCAACATTAGTGCATACATCCTTTAAAACAAAACTTTTTCTCTTGGCAGCAAGGCCAAATAAATTTTTCCTACACTATTTGACATAAATAAATATATATATAAAAAAAAGAAAATTTTTTTTAAAAAAAAAAAAAAAGAATTTAATCTTGCTTAAATAAAACTGATTTGTGCTGTGCTATCACATTCTCCAATGTAGAATAACCAAGACAAAAGTCATTATTCAACATGGTTACTAAAACTAGGAAAATGCTATAGCAGTTATACAAAAAATTAATACAAAAAAAATTCTTCTTGAAAGACACTTAAATAGAAATAAGGGTAAAACATCTAAACTGCTATGTGGAAAAAAACAGTACAAGGGAAACCATCTGGGCTTTTCTTCCAGGAAAATGTTCTGGCAGGGGATGAATTGCAATTTGTGTTGCACATCCCAAGCCATATATGGGATCAACCAACTTTCTTTCATAGAAGATAATGCTTCTCACACTTCTCAAACTGATTTTCACATTCTTCTTCTTCCCATCTTATGGAATGGGCATAGAGAAGGAGGTGCAACAACTCATGAGCAGTCTAACATTGTTCTTTCTCTTTTACTAAAAGCGACATTTAAATAGCACCAAAAAAAAACGACAGCACTGCCACAGACAAACATATGTAACTTTCAGGACCTCTCCTCACATGGAGGGTACCTGCATCTAACATTCCAAAAAGCCATTACCAGTTGATTCTGTATTTCTTCCACTTTATGATTTTAAGTTTAAAAATTTTTCAGTACAACATTAACTGGAAGATAGATGAATATGTATTGAAGCAAGCAAGCAAATCAACTTTTATTAATTAAATGTGTGAGCAGTAGGATACATCTGAATATAGAAACACTCAAGTGAGACTCTTTTTAACCCTTTTTAAGATCACTACAGATATTAGCCTCAAGAAAGTCTCAAACCTTTAGAAGGTAATCACACTTTAAGCAATCAGTTCAACAAACTCAAGCAAGTTGAGGCTTGCTCCCAGCTTCTACTAAACCACATACTAGATTAAGATTCAAATAAAAGGTAAAAAAAAAAAAAAATACCACTACAACAAGTCTTACCATGGAGCAGAATGAAATCTGCCAGCAGTGAATTTCACCTCCTTCATTGCATACAAACTGAAAAGATTAACAGGCCTAGAAAACGTTGTGGATCATTAAAGATCTTTCAAAAAATCTACATAATGCAATCAGCATATTGACTGTATGTTAAAAAAAAAAAAAAAACAACTCAAATGACCTTTTTAAACTGGTTACTTAATTCATTAACATCTGGGTCAACTCAGAGCAAGATAACTGATTGCAACAATTCTGACAGAACTGCTGCCCTTCCAAAGGCAA